CTGCTTTTGCAAATGGATTTATAATGTATTATATCATTATCAGAAATGGATGTATACTTCTTTCTATTTGGTCGAAACCCGTACCTCTGAACGAGTCGCATATATAATTAAAATAAGCAAGTGTAATCGTATCTACGGCTATTGGATTAGGATTTGAGTGAAGGCGCTATAAAAATGGCCTTACGAGACAATGATAAAATGTGTATCTGGTTTGGAGCCCAAGTTTTTCAAGGTCACTTAATTATACCCTGCCACCCAGAGGTTAAAGAAAACAGACAAACCGAAAAACAGAAGATAGACAAAAATAGACAAAATGCATAGAGAGAGAAAAGATGAAAACTCATCAAAAAACTCATTTCCCTCCATTTGTTTGACAGGCTATTGTGGAGAGCCAAAATATCCGGGCTCCAGCCGCGAGGAAAACGAGGTGCTGTTGCGATTTGATCTGGTGCACGCCGGGACCTTAGCGTGTTGTGAGGTAAAGGCTTTGTTCATATGAGTAGAATGTGAAAATAGAAAAGCTTTGAAAGGGAAGTAATCTTGAAACTGCAAGGAGAAAGAAAGAAAAAAAAAGGAAGGGGAAAAAAGAGAAATCAAAGAGGGAAACTGAGAGAGAAAGAGAGTGAGATCAAAGATCAAGTAAAAGAATGGGTAAAATGTATGATCGGCAAAATAATAGAACGGATTAAAGATGAAGAAGAAGAAGAAAAGGAGGTCGAAGGCAAAATAGATGAAGAGAAAGACACTAAAACAATGAAGATAAAGACGAATAGGAAAAAATGTTATTGCTAAAGAAAAGAAAATTAGGAAAAAAGAAAGGAGACTTGAAAATGATTTGATAGGAAACATTTTTTTATGGAAGCGTGAACGGTACAGGAGTTGAGTTCTGATCGTCTTGGCGTAAAAGAATCGGCTTAACTGATGTTAGGCCACATGTGTGACCTAGCTTAATTGACAAAACTCTCAGTTATTTTATTCTTTGTCTTCTACACAATTGACATTAATTTCCTTCGTGTCCTTTATTTTTCGGCAGCCTAATTAAAAAGAAATGTAATAAGCTCATTTTACACTAACATTTTTTTACGTTAGAATTGCTTGTCTTGTAAATCGTCATTGAAAAAACTGGCTTTAACGTAGTCTTAAAAATTGGCCACTTGTGTCTGTAGTACCTGACATACAAAACATGCCATTTTATATCATTCTTCGATTTCTTTGTTTTCACTTCAATCTTCTTATAGAGTGAATCAATGTTAATACGATAAGGCATAATGGTGACATTCTAAGCGTAAAGTGAACATTGAAGTCAACACTCAGAGATGCAGGGTCTTTCATTACGTCTAGCATGAAACAGCCTGCCGCGTCTGAGTTTTGACTTCAACGTTCACTTTTACATATATATATATATATATATATATATATATATATATATATATTGAGAGAGAGAAACTGAAAAACAGACAGACAAACCAGTCATATCCGAGTGCTGCGGAGGCTAGCAAATCCTTGTTATTGTAGACGCCTGCTTGTTTTACAGGGATATACTCAAGGTAAAGGATTACATAGTAAGTGGTAGAATTTATTGTTATATTTGGGGAAAATAACGGTTAAAATTAGACTTGTACAGGATAAGATTATAGCTAGCGTGAAAACATCCTCTTTGTAATCGGTTCTATAGAGCATTGATTCGCGTGAAGAAGCAGTTTAAGTGTAAATTACTTCTAAACGATGGAATACGGAGGTAATGTGGGTGATTCGCCACAATATGTACGGCATGTCCGGTCTAAGGCTTGAACAGTTGAACAGGTAAAACTAAAAACCCTCGTTCGCCTGAGGACTTTCTTTGGAAAGAGTGATGAAGCTGTGAGAGATTGTGAGTTGCAGGGTGAAAAATAATTCGTCACACAGAAGTACTCGGAGAGGCTTTTGAGCTTTATCAAGACTGGGAAATGGAAACAGAGCAGCCTCTTATAAAATAAGACAGCAGTATTCCATTTCAGGTCTGATTGACTCTTGGAAATGTAGAACGAGGATTTAGATTATCGATATTGAATAGTTGTGATTTCATGAATTAATCTCTCAGGGATTCTAAATTTATTATGGCAATCTTGGTCATCATGTTTGTATGTATGTTTAGTGTTTATTTATACTTTTGTTTTTTTTTTGTTTTATATTTACTAGGTACATATATTTTTGCATTTGTGTCTACGTGTCAGGTTTTCCTGTCTATATGTATGTTTGTATGTGGGTCTTTATGTTTGTGTATATATATATATATATATATATATATATATATATATATATATATATATATATATATGGTTGTGTGTATATGTTTTTATATATTTATATGTATTTATGCATATATTTTTGTATATTTAGGTATATCAGTGTTTATATACTGTTTTTTTGCATGTGTATGTGTTATATTTCAGCTTGAGGATTAAGTTATCCGGGTTCTTTTTAATATATGTATCAGTATATGTATGACTGTTAATATGTGTGTGTATATATACACATATTCTTTTTTATTTATACTAGTTTGTTTATAATCTGATATGTGTATTATGCATCAAACCTACGCTATTTTATAACCTGATATGTGTATTTCAACTACTTATGCATCAAACATACGCTATTTTCTTGTCTTGTCACTTTCATTTGATTAACCCATTATCTTATTTTACCTATATTTTTGTTTATGTATGTAATATTTGTAATGGGTACTTTGTGTTGTTTTATTGTTGTATTTGTCCTCGAATTTGGTGAGTTTACTTATTTGTATATGGGTACGGGTGTGTAATTCCTTGTATTTGGTTTTACTTGTATACAAATGTTACGGATGTAATTCCCTTTTAGGGATTTGTTTCTTTGTTCTTCTTTTTCTTTTTATTCTATTTTTATTCTTTATTTTTATTTTCCTTTTTGAATTTTTTTATTTTTTCCTTTACCACATTTCTTTCGTTTTCTTTTTGTATTTCCTGTGTCGTACTTATATTTGCGTGCATATATGTTTTGCTATATTAATATGTCTGTGTATTAGGATGCGAATGAGTTTGTCGTTTCATCTGTATGAATTAACACACACGTGCCTAACGTTTGTAGCGTTTATTGATACTATTCATATCAGCGTCGAATTTACCAGATAAACTGGCATTTAGCTATAATAATAATAATAATAATAATAATAATAATAATATATATATATATATATATATTCTTTTTCTTTGTTCTATTTTTGAATAGCAGTGTAATATTTTAAATCTAATTCTCGGTTTAATTTAGATTTTGACATTTTTAACTTTTAATTTTACCGTAAATCTTAATTAAAACTTAATTATTTCATATTGATTTCTATTTTAATCTAAATCTAATTCGATCAACTAACGTGACTTTAAATTTAAAAAAAAAATCTTTATTTCGCAGTCAACTCCATCAGTTGATAAACATCAGAAGTGTTGAAACAAAATGGCTATTTTGTAGTGATGTTGTAACATGTTTATATTATAAATTTTGAATAAAAATTATTCGCTCTTCTTAGTATTGAGCATTTTAAAAAAAGTAGTAGTTTTGTTTATCGTAATTTTATTCCATCTATACCAACACTGTATTTGTGCATATATATATATATATAAATTATAATTAATATAATATAATAAAGTTAATAATTAATATAAATAAATATAATATAATAAAGTTAATAATTAATATAATAATGTTAGGTATGTTATATATATATATATAAATTATAATTATATATATATATATATATATATATATATATATATATATATATATATATATATAAAATGCTCTTTTTGGACCTCTTTTAGTTTCAATGTAACACTTCATTCTTCATATGACCCGAATTTAATGTCATAAGGTCAATATCCGTGTTAAGTTTAGAAAATCTCTTCCATTTAAGGTTAATACCTTCAACCCTCCCCTTAGCACCAACTCGGACATTTCGTCTTAATGAAACATCGATATGGATAAATTCTGTATCAAATTTTTGACTGCTGTCAAAGTTAATTTTTAAATTTCTAATTCCGACACGAACAGCCTGTACACCGGGGTTGAATAAGACCAACGGATTTCTCGTCGGTTAAAATAGATATCTACGACCATTCCCATATGAGGTAATTTTGAATTAGTAATTTTGAACACGAAACATGACATTTCATTCTCGTAAGCATTTTAAGGGTCGGCTTCCTTTTGATACTTACCCTTCAATCTTTTTTGATACAACCCCCATATATATATATATATATATATATATATATATATATATATATATATATATATATATACATTATTTAAAAAATATGCACTGCACATATATATATGTCTGTGTGTGTAGAACCTTGTGTATATAGATATTCATTTTTAGGTTTATGTCCATGGATGAAAAACAATGTAGGATTTGAATGAAATTTCGCTATGATGATGATGCCAATGGTGTTGTAAATAAATTTTGGTCTTTGGTCATTTAGTCAAATCTTGTGAAGTTCGTTGGGCTAAGAACTTTTCTCCCCACTCTCGTACATACAAGGAAGTCCTAAAATTCTGCCGACTGAAATGTCAATTTGGATTTATGGACATTTTCTGGCGCTAAAAATATTTAAGCATTCTGGTGAACTATTTTCGCTCAGGACTACGTTAAGCTTGTTGTTTTTATTCGTTCTGAAAGAGATGACAGCACTTATGCTTTTTAAGCGGTTACAATTGTCTGCCTAGTTTGTTTTTATTAAACGGGTAGTTTTTTTTAAAAAAAAGTAAACAAAAAAGCCCAGGAAAATTAAAAGATTAAATAGAAAAGAAACGAAAGAATGAAGGAGAGAAAGAAAGAAAAAACGAAACGGAAGAGAGAGAATGAAAGTTTTTTTTTAAAGAATTAAGAATAAATGCTTTGAAAGAGGAGGAAAAAGAAATGAGGAGGATGAAAGGAGAAAAGATACGGGGATATAAATGAGAAAAATCAGGAAAAAGATGTTCAAAGAAAATTAAAGATGAGAAAAAAAGAAAATGTAGAAGGGATACCGGAAGTTAACAAAAGAATATAATGATGGAAAATCGAAGGAAAAGAGGATGAAAAAAGAAAAATAATGTGGAGATTTATATGAAGAAGAATTTAATAAAAATGCAAGAAAAATAGAGAAAGGGATAATTGAAGAAAAATATGAACAAAAAAGAAAGAACAGAGAAAACGGAAATGGGCGAAGTAGGGAATGCAAAGAAAGAAAGAAAGAAAGAAAGAAAGAAAGAAAGAAAGAACGACAAAGAAAGAAAAAGTAAAAAAAAGAAAGTAAAAGGAAAGAAAACGAATTAGAGAAGAAAAGTGGGAAAAAGAAAGAAAATAAGGAAACAGTGGAAAAATGAAAGTAAAAAAAAAAAAAAAAAAAAGGAAGAAAGAAAGAAAGAAAGAGAGAGGTGTTTCCAGATAAGAAAGAGTACATTTTCAAGTAAACATAAAAGAAGAGAATATAAATAAATGAATAAAAACAACTGAATAGATAAAATATGAAAGACGGAGGAAATTTGATGAGAAATATGTAAAAGTAGAAGCAACTCAATGGATGGGTAAGAAATGAAAGAAATAGTTAGAGTAAAAAGAGGGCGAATGAAAAAGAAATGAAGAAAGGAGAGAGGAAGTAAGAAAAAAAAGAACAAAAGCAAAGAAATTATTGTGAAGAAAGAAAGACGAAATAGAAAATGCAAGGAGAAATAAATGAAAACCATTGAAGAAAGCGAGACAATATAGAGAATATTAGAAGAAAGACGATTTGCAATAAATAAAAATGAAATGGAGAGAGAAAAAATATTGAAAAAAAAAAAGATAAAAGGGCAAGATGAAATAAAAAAAAATGAAAGAAAGTCAATATATTAAAAGAGAAAAAGAAAATGTAACAAAAAAAAGGAAAGAAAATTAAGGAAATAAATTAAAAAAAACAACAAATAAAATGCGATTTTTGTTCTTTTCATCGCCCTGTAGTTTTGTTCTTGTCTGAAATTTGTCGACTTCTATCAACTTTTTCATCTGACGATTGTACACTTCAGAGAAATCTCGTTTATAGAAAACTCTCTCTCTCTCTCTTGTCTTGAAGTGAATCTTCATTCAAAGTGAAACGTGACTACAAGGTCCAGTCTCTCTGTCTACGCTTCATATACTGTCATGTATATTTTGTATAAGTATTCTATAACTGGTATATACATCCTATCCCAGAGAATGTATTGTTATAACGAATCATCTAGATCAATGGAAATTGTATGTATGTATACATTTGACATTCTCCACGCAAACACAGTTTTATATATATATATATATATATATATATATATATATATATATATATATATATATGTGTGTGTGTGTGTGTGTGTGTGTGTGTGTGTGTGTGTGTGTGTGTGTGTGTGTGTGTGTACAGTCTATAACAGTAAAAATATACAAATCGCATAACACCCTAATTATAAATCTCACAAAATTATTGATATCAAAAGTCCGCCAAACTAATTGAGTGTTTTTTTTCAGGGGCTTCAGATAGGGTGTTTAGCCGTCTTGAAACCTTTTGTCAGGAGATTCACTGAAAAACCCTGAGTTATTCTGCAAGAAAGAGAACCACTTAAAATCGTTTTGTGTCTGATTCACTGTCTTCCCAGCTTAGCAATAGCGAGAGGAAAAAGCTGATTCAGGTTTTCAGTAATGTTACCATCATTTCTACTCTGGCTTCCATTTTCGAAGTTCAATAAATATTATTACGTGAGCCGTTAATAAGTTTGAAAAGAGGGAATAGTAAAGAGGAAACTGGATCAGGAGGTTAGAACAGGAAGAGGGATCATCCTTTCAAATTATAGCTAAAGATATCAATTAAAAAAGATATAAATCCATTCATAAGATATTTGGCACGTAAGAGAGGAGTTTGGCCATAACAGCAGTGAAAAAAGACTTGAAAATGAAATCGTATATGAAAATTTAAAGGCGACTTATTGCTCCATGAAAGTTAGAAAGTTAGAGAGGGCGAAGATCATCTCGTAAATGTTTGAAAATTATCTTGGAATAATATATATATATATATATATATATATATATATATATATATATATATCTTTGAAATTTAATTCAATCCTTCATGTGCTTCCGATCCTTAGTTAATGATAAACATGTAATTTTCGTTTATGATCGATTTCTCCGCGATTCTTCTGTTAAGCTTGGAGACTAATTATACATTCTTATTGCTGAAAGTAGAGTCCAATTGTGTTATAAAAAACTCGCTGAATTGCAATAAGATATATTTCCAACATACAACAGTTCAAATCTTAATCTAACAATTAAACAATTTTGATGCTACACGATTTGAACATTTTTGCTGTTACACCCGGTAATACATACATACATACATACATACATACATACATACATGCATATATATATATATGTATGTATGTATGTATGTATAAAAGCTAAAATACCGACCAGCATTAATATTAATAATTTTAGTCTATGTTTTGTTCATGGACAAATATTTAACGGGACATGGGAATTTCGATGGATATTTCATTGTCATAGAACTCACCATCTACTTATTCAAGCATTAACATAAGAATCCGAAAATTAAAGTGGAAAATCTGTGAAATTTTTGCGTGTTAAAACTAGTTATTATTATTATTATTATTATTATTATTATTATTATTGAATTTATGAATAAACCCTTTAGGAATAGCAAGTCATTTGAGCCCGAAGTGATCTAGGAAATTAGATTTGAGAAAAGAACGCATAGTTCAATTTATTTAAGCTATTCTTCAAAATCAAGTCGTAAACCCCAAAGTGAATATCTCTTCGATTCTCTAAATGCTATTTTGAGAAGAACACTGTTAATAGCTTAACCTTTTCGCAAGAAATAGCATGAAATATATGAATTAAGCACTGTTTAGATATAAACGTTTTGCTTTTCTGCTACATTAATTTATCCTTTTTAAAAAGTACTCAGTTTTTAAAAAAGACTACATAAGGATTATGAATGTTTGAAGAAATGTTTTTTAAATAGATTAACAAATTATACTTGACACACATATGCAACACATACATATGCAGTTTTACATCTTCAAAGACTCGTAGACCTACTTACAATGAGAAAGCTAGTTTAGCAAAGTCGTATAGCTCTATACTGATTATATGGTGTGTTTGATCATGGCCGCTCATATGTTGTAGTTGGCCTTGTCACGCAGAGCTAAGTAAATATGTAACCGCATTTTGGAATGAGAAATTCAACTCGCAAAGAGGACACGACCAGGACACATGTAGTACGGCCTGTCAAAGAAACAAACACGCACGCCCAGTGACATATTAGTGTAATCAAAGACAAAGGGTAAAAATGGTCGTGCGACGCGTTTCGTCCGTTAGGAATTCATCGGATTAAAGTAAGCAGAGGAGGCACTGAAATTTATTTTTTTCCGTCGTTTACACGATATAAACACATATATATAGTCTTTTTAAATTAATGGTTAATATTTCAGCGTCTACTCTCTTTGCGCGCGTGTAGACTGATCAGCGTATAAATTCCCTTCGTCCGATGAATACGGTTAAGAAAGAAACGGGTCACACAAAAGTTTTTATCAACTTTTTTCATTGACTACTGTAACATTCTTTTTGATATATATATATATATATATATATATATATATATATATATATATTATAAAATAAATAAATATAAATAAATGTATATAAAATTTTGTATATATAAATATGTTTGTGTGTGTGTTTGGTGTAATAGGGTCTCATGGTTAATTGCATTAACCTTGCGGAAACTATATGTAAATAACGGATGAGGAGACTAATAGCATCTTAACATCTTAACTAATGTCATTGTTAATACTTAATTGTTCCACCTGGACTAAGTGCCTTAATGATGATTGTGATGTAACTATGGGATCATATGATTTAGCCCAGGTTACTGATTTAGTGTGACACCATTTGGGAAGCAAATAAAAGGAAGAAAAGAAGGGAAAGAAATGAAATTTTGATAGTGACAAATGGTGAAAGGTTTCATTGCCATTGCAGAAAATTCTAAATAGATAAAAATTGACTGTGTCTTGGTGGTGGACTTATATTATCGGGAATAGATAACAGCCACTTGGTGCTGGCGAAAATCTAATTGACAAATTCCAGATCGGCTAGCTAAACCCCGAGACAGAATAGATAAACATTTAACCGTGTCACAGGACTGCCTGACCACCCACGAGCTAAAGAATACAAAGGAAAATGGGTTAAGTCTTTGTCGATGGAAAGATATCGTTAGACAAGGTCTGGGTTTTGTTAGAATGTAGCGATAAGAGCGAAACATTATTATCGGAGAGGTTGGCCGTATTTGCTGGACGACCACCCACGCTGATAATTGGCGAAAATCTGACTGACGAAGTCCAGATGAGAATTGAGGTTATCACACTACTTTTCTGTTGGCGGCCAGAGAACAAGAGAGAATAGAAAAGAAAAAAAAGGAAAGGAAATAGAAAAAAAAAGAGGAGATATTTTTTTACTTTGAGCAAGATATTTTTTTAAGAAACAAGGCTAGTCTGGTCACGCCCACACTGTTGATCAACCATTGGATGAATGTTAACGAGAGCCAGGCGGAGGTGATCATGTGATGCAGGGGAGGAGGCCTGCTACTACTCCTTAAAGAGGTTAGGTATAAGATGTTACTGCGAAGAAGTGGGAGGATCGTTGACGCACTCTGAAAGTAGGGGTAAGAGAAGACTTCCAAAAATGGAAATAATAAATTTTTCCTGATCGAAAACAAAAGAAGGGGATTGTGGATTTGGAATTATCAAGGGACCCCAAACCCCAACAAAGCCCACCCCGGTTTTGGTCGGCGTCCATATAAGCAAAGTCGCAGCAAGCGAAAATGAGAGAGTTTCTCAGTTCAGTCCAGTTAGTATCAACTTCCAGTTCGCAGTTGAAGTGGATCCCGCCTCGCATTAGCTGACTTGAAAGATTCGCGCAACTTCTGAACTCACATTCAATCCAAGAACAATTTGTTTTTGAAGAGCGACTTAGATCCATACCACCAAGATAAGTTTTACGACTATCGCCTGAAGACACACCAAGAACCAATTTCTTAAAGAACAGACAACTTAAGATGTTAAAACTCACCTAACAAAAACAACGTGTCACAATCCATATAACGGGTCTGGAGATAGACGCAGTCCTATGTATCCAGCAACCAGATATAAAGTATTATTATCATTTTTTTGATACCTTGAACTTTTGAGTTATTATTTTATTTTCTTTTACACATACTTCTGCGATACCACCCTCGTTTGAACTCAACTTGAATTACGTCCCAAACGACTGACTGATTTCGTCTGCCTAAGATCAATTGACAACGTTGGTAGGCGGACCAAGATTCCCATCCGAATCACCAAAAGGTTAGAACGTCACAATTGGTGCCGTGACCAGGATAGGACCCTGGAACAGCCGCTGTCACATTAGCATATTTTTATATTTTAGATACACTTAGATCTGAAGATCCAAAACTTGTAGGCCTATATAGAGATGATGGACTCATTTTCATCCCCAATAGTAATGGTCCACTAACTGCAAATTTAGAAAAGATAATATTTAAGGCCTTTCAATTACTAGGGTTTGGGATTGAGATTTATTCTAACCTTAAAATAGCTGACTATCTAGACATCACCCTTAATCTTAATAAAACTTTAAGAACTTTACCATAAAGAGAATGAAC